CCGCTTCCATCCAATTTTTCCATATCACCATCTTTTTCCCAATTTTTAAAGTTGGGTTTCCTCATAAAGTCAGTTTGGCATAGGAAAAAGGGTCAAATCTTTTTTCATTAGGCATTACGTTCCATAGCTTTCTATGGAAATTGTTGAAATTGTTGAAATTGTTTCCAGAAATATTAGAGCTTTAGCGTATTTCAATTCTAATACTGTCCATCCAACCAAAGGTGTTACATATATATATTCCAAAGATGCCCAAATTGGAAAATTAACACCACTTGTTGGTTTCCAGTATTTAATACTTGACAATAAGTAAGCATGATGATATAGCTCCAGATTCAGAAGGCCGAATCTTCCCTCGTTAATTGATAACTGCATTTTCTGTAAAGATATTCTCACAATTGAAGAACCCCATAGAAATTTTCTACACAAAGAATTTATTTTCTGAAAATATTTTCCAGATATAAAAACTGGAATTCCTCTCAGAATATAAATAACTCTGGAAATAATATTTATTTTGAGAGTGTTCACCTTTCCCCAAAGGGTGAGGTTTAATGACTTCCATCTACTGATATCTGAAGAAATCTCTCTATACATTTTATTTATATTACATGTCACTAACTGAGATATATCTTTGGGCAAAGACATACCTAGATATTTAATGGATTTGGTAGAAATATGGAATTGATATTCCTTAAATTTATGAGTAGCCAGATTTTCACCTACTGGCATTAATGCCGATTTGGCCCAATTAATAGAGTATCCTGCTATTTTACTAAAGGCATCTATCACTTGCATCAACACTGGAATAGTAGTATGAGGTTTAGAAATAAACAAAAGAATGTCATCTGCAAATAACACTAGTTTAAAAGAAGAAAACTCAGCTTAAAAGAAGAAAAAGAAAAAAGGAAAGCTTTACCCATGGCAATATCTATATTTTTGTTCATGTCATTCTGATTCTTGAAGCCTAACAGAGTGTTGTACGAATGATTCCAGGCATGGAGCTGGCCTTGCATTGGGGTGACATAATGGTCCCTTTACCAGCAGTGTGCAGAAGTAATGTCTATATTTTCCTGGCTTCAAGGAAGTACAGTATTGCATCTGAGTGAGTTTCTCCTTTCCCCTCATCTTGGATCTCTGGGTGCAAATGCTCCCTGGCTGGCATAAGGATGGCTGCCCATTGACCTACTCAATCTTTCATCACTTCACCATCACAGCAACCTTGAGCTCCTTCTGCTCTTTTGAGCTTTCAGGGTTGCTGTTCTGAAGAGCAACAGACAGGATCCTATACCTGCTAAGATTGTGTTTTTCCACTATTCCATGGAAAACGTCTGTGCCCACTCCCATCAAGAGAATCCTATTGTATGTATGTGTGTGTGTGTGTTTGTGTGTGTGTTTGTGTGTATGTGTGTATACACACACACATCTACCTACACACACACACACACATACATACAGAGATACATACATACACATCTAGGTATATATACGCACATACATACATACATACACCCAGTGGAACATTCACAATTTTCTTTCAACAGGTATTTTCAACTTGGTGGTCCTTCCCTACATAAGAGAGGGGTGTCCTTTTTTTTTTTTTTTCTCGTATATGGGCCAAATTTCACCTTTGCTTTTCATGCCAAGTGCCACAGACTTCTAATATCAAACCAAATCAAATCCATCTTTATTTTGGTCATTGGCCACCGTACACTTCTAACAACTGATGAGGCAGAAGGAAGAATACATTTCATTTCATTTCATTTCATTTCATTTCATTTCATTTCATTTCATTAAATTTTCAATATTATTAAAATCCGGTAATAGGTTACAGTGGAAATAGAATGATAGGCAGAAGTTGAGTGGTTATGACCAAGCTTGAAACCTTTTTTAAAATACAATTACATGTACAGTTCTCATAAACTCTCTAGATTCTCTAAGTCGTGTTAGTTTGGTGTGTTGAAAGGGGGAAAGGGTTAGGTCAAAAACTTGGAAAACGGTTGAAAATGCAACAGTATGAGCACATTTTGGAATGGGCAAGCATAATAAATCTTAATAGTAATAACCATCCTCCATAAATCCTCCTAACAACTTCTATGTTTCCTGTAGAAAGCAGTATTTCTACTCTTTTTTGTCAGCCATTTCTCAGAGCAAGAAAGATCACATGAGGTACTAATTCCTCTTTATGAGTTGTTCCCTTTGGTTGAGCTCAGGCCTGAAAACAATGATGAAGCATTTTGGCAAAAAGATGCATCCCACTAATGCAGCGCTGGAGGACAGAATGGAGAAGACCTCCACAGCTACCATGGCTTTTCCTTTTGTGCTCAGATAGGCTGGAAAAAAGGACACCCACACGCTGCAGAAGGCCAACATGCTGAAGGTGATGAACTTGGCTTCATTAAAGCTGTCAGGCAGTTTACGGGCGAGAAAAGCCACAATAAAGCTGGCGATGGCCAAGATCCCCATGTAGCCCAAGACGCAGTAGAAGAAGGCAGCTGAACCCTCACTGCATTGCAAAATCATATCTTTGGCTTCTGAGTGCATGTCTAACTCGGGGAATGGGGGAGCTGTTGACAACCAAAGAGCACAAATACATAC